TGGGTGGGGAGAGTAGAGGGAGGGAGGTAAACATTTGTAAAGGTTTTTTTTTCAAAAAAAATTAATTAAAAAAAATTAGCAATGGGTTCCCTGCCCGGTTGCTGGGTGGGTGTGGCCATAGTGGGCATGGCCTAATCAGCCTCCTGTGCCAGGCCCTGCACTTACCTCGCATCCAAAATGGGCTGCATGGAGACTCCTAGGAGGGGTGGGGTAGGCGGAGTCAGCTAGGGGTGGGATTTGGAGATTTTCCAAACTGGTGATAATGTTAGCTATGGGTTCTCCTGAACCTGTCCCAGGAGAACCTGTAGCAGCCCATCTCTGGATGTCCACCCTACTCTCAGATCTATAATCCCCTGCATGACTTTCCTAAGGTTTACTTCAGAGATACTCAATATTGTCTAGTGTTCTGTCCTCGTTTACCACTTTGGTTTTACAACTATATTTTTCAAAGAGTCTTCACACGTTGTATTAAAGACACCCAGAGAAAACATTCAGGAAGCCTCTTATCTTGCAAGCAAAAAAACCAACAGACTTCATTACTTACATTTGTGGAACTCAATACCATTTTCTTTTCCACTGGATCAACTACTGAATGTTCTTTAATGTACGTAACAGTTCTATTTGTTCCCAAAATCTTGAAGAAAAAAAGAAAAAAGAATTAATACAAAGTCACACTTAAAGAGCAGAAATTATGCAATAAACATAAATCTTTAAAAGAAGGGTTCTTCACAAACACTGTAATTCTTTCTCCTAACAAAACAATATTAAATCTTTATCATTGGAATAATGCAAGGTCAAAAGCAATAATTGTATTAAGAAGCCAAGAGGGTAAGTTAATTAGTAAAAACATTATACGTTTTATTTTTGTTTTCGCTGGCTTTTGTAACTTACAGCTTTTACAATATTTGGTAGACCCCATTCTGTACTAAGTAATCGATGACTATGTAATCTTCCTTGATTATCAAGGCTTCGGTCCAGGACATCAACTCCTACCACTGATGGGTTCATAGGATTGGGGTATTTTCTCATTGCAGCTTTTATTACAGTATCCCATGAATGCCTGAGAAAAATGAAATAGAACAGAATTAATCAATATACATCTTTAAGAAGGTTCAATGCAAGTAGCAATTATTTTAATTTGTGTTAAAGAATGCCCCCCCAAAGGAATCAGCATCTCCTTATTTTTTAATTCTTCTCCCAACTTTTTCCATCCATATTATGTTAGTTAGGAGAAAGTAAATGTATGCAATTTTTTTATTGAACAGCCCTCCACACCCGCAATCCAAAGGACATAAGGGTAGCCAACATACAATTAATGTACAATAAAATGATGTGCTAATGTTATGAAGAATAAAATCATGTGTAATGCACTTTTAATTTGGATTCTACTTTATATTTTTCAATTGGAAGAATTATATCATAATTTGTTTTAGCATGAGCAGCATTACAAGAACATCATACTATATTATTACAATATCAATGCAAATATTATTCATTTTAAAAACTAACAAGATAAATTTTCTCTGTAGAACGTTCCTATCTAGGAATGGTCTACTGTACTCAAAGGAAAATCTTTCAGGTTATAAATTCAATTATGTATTTAAGATTTTCTTAAAACAGAGCTCTGCTAATCACCAGTGCCAACAATGTATTTAGAAACTGTTTCAATGTTATGGTTATAAGTTTTTTAAAGTAGTTTTTAGTCTTCTGTCTCATCCACTTGACCACCTGACCTGGAAATATTCTCTCATTTCTATTATTTTATCTGTTTTTTCTCCCTACCATATTTCTGGAAGTTTTAAATTCCTAGATAGTTCTCATCTGTCACTCAACATCTATTTATATTTTCCATTTATGTTGAATTCTGATGGCTCCAGAAAACTGACTATGCAAATGAAATATCTAACAGAGGCATCATGATTCAATGCCTATTCAAGAAACTAGGTCAGTTTGAAAACTATTGCTGATAAGTCTGGAAGTATCCAATGATAAATCAAACTACAACTCACAACCTTTGTTCCCTACTTGCCTCAGGCTGCTGAATATAAGTCAGCACGTAACACGTGTATATTCTGAACATGTAAGCTGGACTTTGATTTTTAGAAGTACCTTTAGATCACTGGAATTGAAAGGAGAGCAACAGAACATTGTTCTATAGAATCACTTGTTCCACATCTTTCTTTTAAGTGGCTCTGTTGCAATTCCCATATGCTAAAATGTACGTAGCTTGAGCTTCTGTTAGATTCTCTTGATAATTAATACTTGCCTGGAGGTTTAATTCATTTATACTTCATTTATTCTTTTAGTTAATAGCTCTCCCATAGTTTAAAATTGAACTGTCCAGTAGAATTTGAAATGAAGGCTAGTGCGGTGTCCCTGGATAACAGAAACCAAAACAACTGTCTTTCCTCAAAATGTTAACAGACTGAGAGGAGAGGAGAAAGCATGCAGATACATTAATCACTATTGTTTAAAAATATGCTGAATGCATACATCAAGAGGGAATCTTAATTGTGTGAAGGAATTGTGTGGAGCATCAGAGCAAGGTTACTCACCATCATATTCAAAGGGATTGTTATGCAAAGGTCTCACTGTGATTTACAATTTTTTCTTAATCTATCTTACATAGAGTAACAAACCAAATGTCTAACATATATAACCATGCTTTGTTCAGGGTTCTTCTACAGTTCCTTGGTGAGAAGGCCTGTGGTTTCTATAATCTAATAATATATTTTATATATTTTATTTATCTGCCAATAAAATATATTTTGTTGGAACTATTTTCAATCACTTTGGTTCTTAATTTAATAGGAGGAATAATATTTCCTCCAACACAGGGAAAAAGCCAGTGTAGTCTAGGTGCTGGCCTAAGAGCCAGGAGACTGTGAATTCTGGACTTGTCTTAGACATGAAAAACTGGCTGGAGGACTTTGGGTCAGTCATTCTCTCAGTCCAACAACTTCATTTCACAGATGAAATGTTTGTGGGGAAAAATAGGAGGAAAGAGGAGTATTAGGTATGTTTACAACCTTGAGTTATTTCTAAATAACAACACCGACAGGATGAAAATAAAATAAAATGCTGAAAATGCTCTTTTCTGATGTGCACTGGCAATTTCAAATCACATTAAACATATCTTTTAGCATGAGTCTTACGCAGGATAAATAATTGCAACAAGAATTTCACCAATTCATATCAGTAGTACAATCTCATTCAGCGTGCCAGAACATTCCATTCTTTCCAAGTCTGAAGAGCTGACAGGAACTTATTTAAGGCAAGAATGCATACTAGTAGTTATCGGTTAAAAACCACTTGTTCAGCAACTATTCAAAATTAGGACACTGTTGACAAGTGATACTTACGACCAGTATTCATATTTGTGGCCCTCCCAACACCCCTGCAGTCACATGCCCATGATTCAGGTGGTTGGAAACTGGCTTACACTTACAGCATCCTGTGACCACCCATTTATGATCTTCTCTGCTGGCTTTCTATAAGAAAGTCAATGGGGAAGCCAGTATGGAAGGTTGCAAGTTACTATGGTAAATAATCCCCACTGTTTTTTCTCTCAAAGAAATCCCAAACAATAGGCCCAGGCAGGTAGGCAGCCACCTATCTGGTTGCACTTGTGTTGAGCACACACATGCTGGCCTTGCCGGGATCACACCACAACAAAGTACCCACACATACTTTTGCATCCCAGGTCCGCAAACACTTGCTGCCCTGCTTGTAAAGCCACCGAAGGAGACTTGCAACTTCCTATCAGCTTCCCCATTGTCTTAACTTGGTGGAAGCTGGTTAAAAGTAACACGTTCCAATCACACGAGGTCCTCACTTAACAACCATGATCCACACTTAACAACAGCAACAGGAATTGCTGGGATTGTTGTCAATAAGAAATCTGGTCATGTGACATCACACTCATAACTTCATTGCTTAGTGATAGAAATTCTAGTCCGAATTATTGTTTTTAAGTGAGCTCTACCTGTACAGTTTATTCTCTGTCACTTACATGTAGATTGAGACTTTTGCTGGAAGCTAAATGTTTGATACTAAATGTCATACAAATAATAATGCAATTTTTAAAAAGTTTCGGGATTTAACCTTAGATAAACTTTGGCAAGATGACAGCTATTCTGGGGTGTTGGTTCATTGACATATATCATACCAATCATGCAGTTCTTTGTCTAGATAAGCAATGATATGCAAATTTTAGAAAAAGAGTAACATATAAACAAAAGGTTTAAAAGGAAAAAATAAGGACAGGAAAGGACACCTTCAATACATGTCTCATTTTCGGTTTTTACCTTCTCTGTATGCCATTTCACACAATAGTTTTTTTATTCTTTAAATCCCTCATTGGTCGCTTTTTGTAGTTCATCAATCCTATGCAACCATAATGTTCTTTGTCTTCTCCTTCACATACTTGTTTTGCAATTTGATCCTTGTTATTATTATTATTTATTATTTATTATTTATTTGTCTTGTATGCCGCTCACTCCCGGAGGACTCCGGGCGGCTCACAAAAGACAA